CCTGTAGCCCCAGCTGTCCTGGAACTCACTATGTAGACCAGACTGGCCTTGAACTCAGAGAGATCCGCCTGCCTCTGCCTCCCGAGTGCTGGGATTAAAGGTGTGCGTCACCACGCCCGGCGTTTGTCTTTTTGAGACAGGGTCTCTCTTTAGACCCAGCTGGCCTGGAACTCTCTATGTAGACCAGGCTGGCCTCGAACTCACAGAGCTCTGCCTGCCTCTGCCTCCCAAGTGCCACACCTGGCTCCATGTAGTCTACTTCTTATCATATTGGATAGACATGAGGAATTAACAAGATGATGTACAGGGAATAAAATGAAAGTGGAAACTGAAGTAGTAGGCCAGGTAAGTAGGTGTTTCAGTTAGCGTTTTAAAGGGTTCCTTATATTTTGTCTCTTTCCTCTTTCCTGGGAACTGGCCTCTTGCCTGGAAAGATCTTTTAAATTTTTATATTTTTAATTTTTGTGTGTGTGTGTGTTTATGTGTGTTTCATGGTGCATGTTTGGAGGTTAGAGGACATATTGTAGGAGTTGGTTGTCTCCTTCCACCATGTGAGTTTCAGGGATTGAACTCAGGTCATCAGGCCTGGTAGCAGGCACTTTTATCCACCTGAGGCATTTCTCTGGTCTTTCCTGGAGTGCTCTGGATGTATGTGGCTGTTGGGCAGTTCTCATGATGTGTATGTTCTGTGTGTAGGTTCCGAGACTTGTAAGTTGTCTCCAACTGAGCAGAACGCTCTGGGAGACAGCACCGGGTATATGGAAGTTTCTTTGGACTCCCTGGATCTCCGTGTCAGAGGAATTCTGTCTTCCCAGACAGAAAATGAAGGTTGGTGTTGAAGCATGACTGCAGTATCTTGCTGTTTGCTGGTCTAGCGTCCTCTATGTTAGTCTGATGCCCCCTTGTGGATATTAATGAGCAGTTTGATAAAGTGCATTACTTCAAGGTGATTGAACAGATATAATGCAAAGCAGCATTTGCCAGATCACTGTTGACTCAAGTGAGAGGCTGAAAGTATAGGAGCCCTCTAAGAGCAAAGTAGCTGGTGCTTTATGCCAAATTTGGGGTGCTTAGTAATCATGCCTCACAATGTTTTCCCTATTGTGGGTCAGATACACTTGTGTGCAGAATCCCTGACAAAAAGATGCTACCCTTTTTTTAACTTGTCTCAGAATTTAATGGGCCTTTGGGTGGTCTCTGATTTTATTTTTGGTTGGTTGCAGCATGTCTTCTGGCTTGTCTTAAACTGATGGCTCTCAGGTGTGCTTGCAGCAGAGCAACACCATCAGTCACAGGTGCAACAGCAGCTGCCGGCGGAAGATCTATGCCTGAATCTGGTGGCTTACGTTCACTTTTTTTCTATCTGCTTCCTTTCTTTCTTTTTAATTTTAAAATTTTATTATTTTTATTTTATGTGTATGAATGTATTGCCTGCATGCATGTGAGTGCACCCGTGTCGTGCAGTGCCGCACAGGTCAGAAGAGAGCTTCGGATTCCCTTGGAACTGGAGTTAAGGACGGTTTGTAGCTGCCATGTGGGTGCTGGGAATCGAACCCAGGTCCTCTGCAAGAGCAGTCAGTGCTCTTAACTGCCGAGTCATCTCTCCAGCCCCTGGTGCTTTCTTTAAACCACTTAAAAACCTAACAGTGGAGAAGTACTAAGTGATGAGTTTTTGGAAAGCTTTCATGAAATAAAATGTGGTGGGGAAATATATAACCCAACTGGTATATTTTTGCAAGTATAGTGTTGTGTTGTTACTGTAGGGATTTAATGAATCACATTTTAATCCTAATAACTAGTTTATTAGGATTTTGAATGCTTAAGGGGGGTGATTTATTTTTGTATAATTTGGGAAACAACATCTTTTGCTTTTCATGTGAATTTTGGGTTTGACCAAAGAAGTGATTTTTTTTTTTCTCCCCTTTTTCTCACACCAAGTAGCGCACAGATATAACCCTTGTAGGAAACTTGTGCTTCCCATACTAGATTAAATATAACTGTGTTTAAGTATTCTAAACTTTTAGAATACTTAACTAAACTTTTAGTGGACATTGATTGTAAGCAAGAAAAGTACTCTATCAAATCAGCTTCCACACTGTGTAGCAGAAAACCCTGCCCTGTTGCTGGTGAGTAAGCATTTAAGAGCGTCCCTACCTAAAACATGACTGTTCTGTCTCTGTAGAAAGTAAACGTTAGAAATGGTAAATGTAATTCAGATGTAAAAAGACTCAAGAGTGGGAACACGGGCCATAGTTGTGGGATCCAGGTTATAAACACAGGGAAAACACTGCCACTCTGTGGAGGCTTTCTTTGGGTTCTATATAGATTGGCCTCTCAAGGTAACCTACCTGTGGTTGATCACAGTGATTGGTTTGTACATGCTTTTGACTTAGAGAATTAACATCTTGAAGAAAAGTAGTATTATTCACTTGTGTTCATGCTTAAAGTGTGGAGTTGAGATGCCCAAAGGGAGATCATGGGAGAGCTGGTTTTCAGACATGTGCAAGGATCTTGGGAGTCTGCTGAGCCTGGCCAGTGCATGCAGTGGCTAATCCAGTCTTGATTTAAGAGGGTCTTGGACCTAGGAGAATATTTATGCTGAGGTCAGAAATCCTTGTTTGCGTTGTCTTCTTTTTCTATTATCTCTGTTTGTAGTTTTGTGGAGGTAATGGGAGGCTGAGGACTTAAGCTTGGGAAAAGATAGTAGCCAAGGACAGTGGTAGTGTAGGTGATCAGGAGAGCTCAAAGAAGAGGTTGTGTGCATGGAAGTCTTATCTGTCTTTTCTCTTGATGTCTCTGCAGTTCCTCACTTCTGGGGATTGAAGCATATCCAAGTCCATGTAGATGTGTGTTCTGACAGTATTGCTCAGGAGTGTAGACCCTGAACTCTCTATCTTACTTCAGCCACATGTGGTTGTTTTGGCAGAAGACAGTTTCCTGACAACTTCTTTGGGCATTTGTGTCTGTTTGCCCATTATAAACCAAACTGCTGAGCAGGAACCCTTTAGTGGACACGCTTTTATATTTTAGTGATTCTGATTTGAGTTTTCCTAGTATTTCTTCATCTTTTGGGTGTGGTTACTTGAGGAAAGCCAGGCATCTAGAATTTATATGTCACAGGCTCCTTTTTTCATAGAGATTTATGGCTCACCTTGTCTCATTTATTTTTTAGCGTTTAAATTTTCATTGAGAGAGGATGTAGCCCAGGTTGGTCTTAACTTCACTATGTAGTCAGTATTGACTTTGAACTTCTTATCCTCTTGCCTCTGTCTCCTAAGTGTTGTGATTACCACAGTCATTGTGTCTGGTATAAACCCAGGGCTTCATGAAGCATGGTATGCAAACTGTCTACCAACTGAGCTATATCCTGAGTTCTGTCCCTTATCTATTAGCCCTCTTTAGAAACTAGGTTCCCTCTTGGCTAGGACCCATATCAGATTACCAGCCTAGCAGAGGTGAACCTTCCAGAGGTGAAAGTGACACCTGGGTTCAGCATAGTGTTGCTGTGGGCCAACTGAAGCACTGTGCATATGTATAGAGTTTAAGTGATTTGTGGATTGAACTCCAAACCAGAAGCAGTTCCGGGACACCTGAGAGATTTCTTTCAGGGAAAGCGTGTGTGGAACAAACTGAAAGTCAGCCAGAAAAATAATTATTTGATTACAGTTACTTGTTCTCTTGGTAAGTTCCTCAGTAAATTACTTGACTGTTCTGACTGACTGACCTGAAATTTGATTTTTCTGTAATCACTGCATTCATAAGAAATAGTTCAAAATTTGTTTTTGTGAGATAAGCAAGGCCCAGGTGGCCTTTACTGGCATGGTCTTAGTGAGACTTGCTTTAGTAGCCTAGTTTTAGATGTGAATATGGGTTAATTGTTTTAGAGATGTAATAACCCTTGAAACTTGGATTCACCTTTTATTTCTGCCGTGTCTCACAAGGAAGAGAGTGTGCCCAGCACCAGCTTCCTTTGGAAGCAGCAGTCCTTGCAGCTACTTGTCAGTGTCATTTTGGCAGCTGCCACCCTTCATCCTGCCTTTGATTTTGCATGTCTACCAGGAGTGGGGAGGTTGGGCTCAGCTTTGCTGTGTTCAGGCTTTGCCTAGGCTTCACTGCTTGTCTCCTCTTTGGTCTTCACTGTGGTGTTAGGTACTATGTTATTATGAACACTTGTGATTCTGATTAGTCTCTGTATTTCTTTGTTTTCCCCATTTCTCCCCCTTCTCAGTCTAATATATATAGGTTCTTTGGATAGTAAATAATATTCTAGGTAATAAACTGTTATTGAATTTCTTTTTATGGGCATAATTTTAGAACCAAATGAGGAAAACAGGTTCTCAATATGTAGCAAATGCTTTCTTGCTTGAAAACCAGATTTAGGAGTTGTTGATGAACATGCAGTCTCTTCCTTTGACCTACAGCCTGGGCCCTGAGAACACATTAATAAGTAGTTCTTGGTTGATTTGGTAGGTATCATGCTTGTGGGTGAGACACAGCCTGCTCCTTCATATCCCATCTAGGTGGGTGACAAGAGGTGTGTCAACATCTTCCACTGAGCCGAGCTGTTGTGTAATTTCCATGCGTATGAGATCACTGTAAATACTGTAATTGATTGTTCTCTGGACAACTCTTTGTAGGTCAGGGTTGCATGAGCTGATGCGTGTCTGTGTGACTTAGGGCTGACCAATGGTCCTGATGTGCTGGAGACGGATGGCCTCCAGGAAGTGCCTCTCTGCAGCTGCCGCATGGAAACCTCCAAGAGCCGCGAGATCAGCACCCTGGCCAACAACCAGTGCATGGCCACCGAGAGCGTGGATCATGAAGTAAGCATGTTCATTTTTACTTAAAATTGCAAAAAGAACTGTCATGCAGCAGAGTCCTGTTAAACATCAGTCAGTAGTGTCATATACCAGGGAGCCTCCACAGACTTTCCACAAAACTGATGAAGCAGATAAATAATGAGATACCCAGAACTATAAAGTTAGAACATGAATTCCAAAGGAAGATAGAATATAAACCGTGATTGGATGAAGGTGGCCTGTTTGTTTCATTTCCATGCCTTTATGAAGGTCTTTACAGTCTTGCTATATGTACTCAGAAGTGAATAAATTAAGACAGGAGAATTGCTCCAAGGTGCCCCTGTCTGGGATAGGCCCAGCAGGCCCCAAACACCTGTGATCTATGGTTACTTCACTTTTCTCTTGCCCTGTCTGACACAGACCTGCAAGGACGTTGGAACCCCTTCATCCTTGCCTCTTTTGATTGGAAGGAGTAGACAGCATGTAGAGAGAATGCATCTAAGAATTCCTCCACTTCTTTTTAGCAAGTTTTTTTTTTTTTTTTTTTTTTTTTTTTTTAAAAAAAAGCTCATCAAGCTACTTGGTTCCTGTTGGGCAAGGGCAAGGGTCAAGCAGCAAGTTTGTTGATGTTCTACTGAGGGAAGTACTGCTTGTGGTCACATGGCTCTTGGTGGCTTCTGCTGGGCTGTACCCGACCACTTGTTCTTTGGGAGAAGGTCTAGGTCAGTACATGGCACTTAGATTCTATCTACTCCCTGCTGGGGACTTGTGACGGTCATTCCAGTGGGGTTTCCAGTCCATTTGATCTTCCAAGTGGCTCCAAAGTATTGAGATTTAACTCAATAGCTTTAATTCATGTTTTAGAATCGGGTGATGCCCCTACGGTCTCCATGTTTCTTTCTTTTTTTCTTTCTTTTCTTTTTGGTCTTTTGGAGACAAGGTTTCCCTATAGCCACAGCTGGCCTGGATTCGCTAATGGAGACCAGGCTGGCCTCAAACTCACAGAGATCCACCTGCTTCTGCCTCCCAAGAGCTGGGATTAAAGGCATGCGCCACCACGCCCCGCTAGTCTCCTCATGTTTCACAGAAGAGGGCAGAAAAACCAGGTCCTATGTCTAGGTCACTGGCACCAGAGAAAGGGCAGGAATAGAGTTGGTTCCAAAGGTCAGTCCTGAGCTGCCACATTATAGGCTCTGGCAGTTAATGGGAGAACCTAGTGTTTTTGTATGGTGTGGGGTCAGCTGACTGTGAAAGGTGGATGTTGCTGGAGACTTATCCAGCTGTTCTTGTTCCTTGTTGTTTTGATATTTTTTTTTGGTCTTTTTGAGACCAGGTCCCCCTGTAGCCCCAGCTGGCCTCGAACTCACTATGTAGACCAAGCTGGCTTTGAACTCACAGATATCTGCTTGCCTCTGCCTCCTGAGTGCTGGGACTAAAGGTGTATGCTACCACATCTGGCCTTGTTTCTTTTTTTAAAAAAAACTCCTAATTCCTACTATGCTGTGGTACAGGGACCATAGTTTGAAAGCTACTGGTTCTCTTGTTGTCCTGACAAGGGTGTTAGGGAAGATTCAGTGAAATCATATTTCAGTTTCAAAGCTTATCTTTTCTGAGTTTAATATCCATTTGTCTTACGTTTCTAGCCTGCGTCTTTTCCCTGGGTAAAAAACCAGTACTTGGCTTTGTCTCACTCTGGTTGGCTTTTTAACATTTTTTCCCCTCTCCTGGGTCTGAACAGAATCTGCTCATATTTGTTGTAAAGTCTCCAGAACCTTTTGTATCTCTGGATTAGAAGATTCAGAATGTTTCTGTGCCACCTCTTCTCTGGTTTCCTGTGCCACTGACCTATGGTGAAATTCATCCTGGATTCTGGATTTAGCTGATAGCCTTCCTACGCTATCTAAGTCATTTTCCTTAGTTCCCGTAGCCTGAAAACTAGATCTCAAGACATGGGTAGATTTTTAACTGAAGACTTTTATGATTTAATCTTGACAAGGATGCTTTGTAGCATGTACTGTGAGGCAGAGGGGATACTGAAGTGACAGGATTTCTGTGGTGGCTTCCTGTCCCTCTCCATCAGCTGTTTGCTTGAAAGTTTAACTCCTTATTGACCACTTCCTGAGTTCATGACTTCATTACAAGTTCAAATTTTGTATTTCTATCAGTTTCTTCTGCCTTTTGTGGCTAGATTTCATTGTTTCAGTTGAAGCTCCATCATCTGCTGGAGTGGTGTGGTGCCCCTGCAGTGGAAAGGCAGAATGCAAAGCTACAGTTCTCTCTTCTCAGAGCAGAGCATTGTGCTCTGGCCTCTGCCGTGCACTGGGTATTATTTGCTTCTCTCTCTCTCCTTCCTTCAGTGGTCTTTGAAACTCGTAGTCTTTTCTGAATTATATGTGTCATAAATTGTTTTGTTGCAAAACTAAATCTTGATTTGGTAACTACATCTCAAGTGCCCTCTGGTAGAACTGTCAGGGTCAAGAAATAAATCCTTCATCCCTTCCCAGGCTGCTTGGCTTTGGAGGTTCCCACTATCTAGTTCCCTGCACTCAGGTTGCAGTTTGTCAGGTCTTTTTGTATTTCTGAGAAAATTGCAACTTGATATGGAGCCAAGGCTAGATCAGCCCAGTTTCTTTGCGAGACTTTGGGAAGTCTAAGTTAAGACTGACCATAAGATTGATGCCCTTTTTTCTGATGTTAGCAGCTGCCGATGTCTGTTGCCTACCTTGATCATCATGCATTGGAGATTTCAAAATGGTGCTCTAGTTCTGGCATGGATTCTGCATTTATTGTCTGAAATACCTCATCTGCTTCATTACCTAGCTGTATATCTTTTAGAGGCAAAGCAGTGCAGATGTATGATCTCACCATGTCTACATTCCTTAAGACATCAAATTGGTTCTCCATCAGCTTCTGAAATTGTCTTGTTCTCCTTTTGGTGGGTTTAAGCCTTAAACTTGGTGATGCTAAAAATTACTTCTGGGAGGTACGTGTGGCTTCTGGCCCCTTCCTCCCCACTGCCCTTATGACAAAACAAGGTATAATTTCTCGAAACTACAGTTTGGGGAATCAACGAACTTACTGGGTTTCTGTACAGATCAGTGGGTGAGGGGGGTTACTTACAGAAGTGTGGGTATGAATGGGCTTCCCTCCTACATTTCGGCCGGGTCTCTGTGACCTTCTGGCGGTGGCTCAAGATGCTGAAAGCCACCCTTCTCTCTGGCTTCCCCTGTCTCTATTCTTACCCTCCCCCATGTACCACTTGGGTCAGCAGGTTGGATGGAAGACATGACTGGCTCTGTCTGCCCCTCCCCTCCTACGGAACATCCATAGTCAAGTTTGTTTGTGGTGATTGAAGCAAGTGGGTGAATCCTAGCTGGAGAAGAAAGACATCTGTCCACTGCTTGCCAGTCTAGCTTGCTAAGCAAAACACTTGGTTTATAGAACCTATTGACTCTTTCATAGGGCAGAGGAGGTGTCCGCAGGTCAAAAGACACTAGAGGTTATGTGAATTTTCTCCCTCAGTCTTCCATATAGTATACATTTGGAATACCAGTACCATTGAGTGCTGAGTTGTAGTCACTTAAATGTTACAGTTATGCAGGGGTGAAAGCCATTCTGAGTGCAAGCTCACCATTGGATGTTAATGTATCAGCACTGAAAGTTAATTGATAGTGGTTTGAGATTCCATATTACAACAGATCTTTAAGAAAACACTATGGGGGCTGGAGAGATGGCTCGGCAGTTAAGAGCACTGATTGTTCTTGCACAGAGGACCAGGGTTCAATTCTGAGCACCCACATGGTGGCTACGAACCATCCTTAACTCCAGTTCCAGGGGAATCTGAAGCCCTCTTCTGACCTCCGTGGCATTACATGACATGGGTGCACTCACATACATGCAGGCAATACACTCATACACATAAAATTAAAAAAAAAAAATGCCAGGTGTGGTGGCACACACCTTTAATCCCAGCACTTGGGAGGCAGAGGCAGATGGATCTCTGTGAGTTCAAGGCCAGCCTGGTCTACATAATGAGTTCCAGGGCAGCTGGGGCTACAGAGAGACACTGTCTCAAAAAGACCAAAAAAACCCCAAAACAAAACAAAAAAACCACTGTGTATCAAACTGGATATGGTGGCACATACTTGTAATTCTAGCATTTGGGAGGCTAAGGCAGGAGGATGACAAATTCATGGCTAACCTGTATTATTGAGTGAGTTTGAGGCCAATTTGAACTACGTTGTGAGTTCTAAGATGCGTAGGTTACATATTGAGACCCTGTCTCAACCAGAAAATCTACTATTTATGTAATTTGATTTAGTATTAGAAAAGAATGCCCACAGTTATCAGCTTTTACCTGTGGAAGTAGATATTATTTTATTAGACATTAAAGAGTTTTGCAGTAATAGAGAACAATCTTACTCATAAAATTTTGTTTTGAAAATAATTTTTGCAATAAAGTATGTTCTTTGTATTAACATGTGATAGACTTATTGGTATATTAAAATAAATTGAGGGTTACCCAAACCTGGTGACTTGAGTTCCATCCCTGGAACCCACATAAAAGTTGGAAGGCGAGAACCAACTCTACAAAGTTGTCTTCTGACACAAAACCCCACCCATACCCCCATATTTATCTCTTTCTCTCTCAAATAATTAAGTTTCTTTTTTAATTTTTACAAAACCTTTATTGAGAATTTCCTACATATATATAAGGTGTTTTGATCAAATCCATGCCCACTCCCTCCCCTCCAACATTCCTTAGAGTATGTTGCTAACAGGCCCAAAGACATTTTGACTTTTAGCCAAGAAACCAGCCACATTTCTTTGGGGTCTTATTACCCTAACTGCCTAGCCAATTCCTACCTCCTATTCTTATCCTATTCTTATTTGGGTAATCCTCTGAAGGGGTTACCCAAATTGCCAATAGGGAATCGGGACACAGACCGCTCTGATTTCTTCCATGCTGAACAGGGATGCAGGGTGAGGCAATTGGAGTGCCCCTTCAGTGGGTATATCTAAAA